CAGGAAGAGATATATCTTTCATTCCTAGAGTATAAGAAGAAGCCTATACTTAAATACTCCATCAGGAGGAAGGAAGAATGTCTCCCTGGCCAGCAATAAGCTCAGCCAATGAGAAACCATCACCACCCTGAATTCTGACTTTCCTGTAATGTACTTCCTTTCAAAGCAGCCTCTCCTAATGTCCTCTTTTTCTTATTTCCTCTCCTTTCATTTCCCATCTTGCCTATGGTTTGCCATAACTTGCATGTCCCGAATTGCAATTCCTCTGCTATTCCCAAATCAGCCCATTTTGCTGGTAAATAACTAGCTGTTTTACTTTTAAGGTCAACAGTCTCCCAAGCTCTTGACAGGTTCTGTTTTGCTTTTTTGTTTTTTTCCCCTGCTGTTAAGTAGTGATTACTCTCTAGTTCTTTCAATTTACTCCCCACTAATAAACACTCCATCAGCTCCTCAATGAAAAAAAATAAGAAAAAGCACCCAAACTTTCAGTCAGTCACCCCCTGAAGCCAAGGAAGATGGGAACTAAAGGGGGGAAGGAAAGTAACCCTTTATAAAATCAGCTGACAATGGGATGGGGTGAGAGTCTGGGAGAAAGCCCAGAAATCTTCTCTCATGTTCTGATTTGATCCTTTCATCATAATTATCCAAGTGAGAAAGTCTCTTTCGTTTCTGAAATTAAGTGGTTCCTTTCTCTCCTGATAGATGAGAGTGTGATTATGCTGGAAGTAAAGAAATAAAGAAGAAAGGGTATAGCTTATGTCTTCATTTATTCAGCCAGTAATATTTGAATATGGCAAAGCCCTGACCTCAAAGAACTAACAGTCAAGGATGGGGGCTGGGAGGCAGATGTAAAAATAGATCATTTCAGATACAGATGATGCTTGTGATAATAAGGTTCTGTAGAGAAGTGGTCACAAAGAAAAGTGTGATCAGATCTAGGCCAGGGAGGAGGATCAGGATGGCTTCACAGGAGAAATGACCCTAGAAGCTGTTTAAGGGTGTCATTCCTGGGGGTTAGGGTCTTCCAGACAGCAAGCAGAGTACGTGCAAAGGCAGAGCAATGTGAAATAGGACCAGTTAGGGCATTGTGAGAAATTCAGGGCACCTGAAACATGAGGCATGAAAGGGATAATTAAGTATAAGATCTGAAGCCGAGGAGACAGTCAGGGCTCAGAGGGTGGAAGATTTTGTCTGCCCACTAGCAGGCCAACCTCATCTGATAGAAGGTAAAGAGCTGCTGGAGTGATGTAAAGGGAGAAGTGAGCTCGCTGTAAATGCTCAGCAGCTTCTGGGTAGAGAATGGATTGGGGGTGGTGGGACTGGAGAAAGCCCACCTGGGAAGCTATTATAATGGACATTAGCTTAGAGATGGTCAGGGTCAATGGGATTGAAGAAAAATAGATGGATGTAGTAGAGTTTTAGAAGGGAGAATCTAGTATGATGAGGAAGGAAAGCAAAAGGGTGATGTCTAACCTTTTATAGGAGGAAGAGTTTGGAGAAGAAGAAGGGGTGAGGAAAGATTATGAAATGAGTTAGGTTGGGTAGAACTTATCCTGTAGGGTCCTCATTCCAAATTTTCTTTAGATGACGAGCTTTTAGGAATCTCCTTTCGCCCTGCCTTCTCATGCCCAACTGGTAACAGAACATCTTATAGGGTCTTTTATAGGATTGAGAATGGACATACTACTTCTCTTTTCTGGACCTCAGTTTCCATCTGGAAACTGAAGAGACTAAACTCTGTGAAACAGGTCTTTCCCTGTTCTCCCAAGGGAAGAGTGAAGTTTACCCTTCTCTGGATCTTGCAGCAATGTCTGTCTTGGTCTCACACTGTTTAGCTTTGGCTGCCTAGAATTTGTATGCTCCGGTTTCCCAAACAGACCTTAAGCTTCCGGAGAGTAAGGCTTTCCTACCCTCCTTGCATCCTCCACCTGCTGCTTCTAGGTGCTCCCCAAGAACAGAGATGCCGGTTTCCTTGAATGTGGGTCAGGTACTTTCTCACTGTCTCCATCATTTTCTAGTCCAGAACTCTCAGATGCTGGGTCCAGAGCCTGTTTTCACTCTGCCTCTGGTTTGGACTTCTTGTCCCAGGGCCCAGCTGGGCAGGACTAGGGGAAGGAGGAGAGGAAAGCTAATGGGAGAGGAGACATGACAAGAGTCTTGGCCTTGGGGGGTAGTGGGATCCAGGTCCTGTGTCTTGTAGGTATCTATGCATATGTTTATGTATCTGAGTGTGTGTGTGTGTGTGTGTGTGTGTGTATAGCATAGGATGTATTTTTTTCTGTACTAAGGTATGTGTCTGCATTTAAATGACCATACATAGGTTAGTGTGCATGTTGGCATCTGTACATCCATGAATGTCTATGACTATGTCTGTATGAGGGCTTCTTTATTGGCAAATGTGTGAATGTCCACACATATCACTGCATATGTATATGTTCCCAGGTGCCTGTATGCAAGTGGATGCATGTATGTATGGTGAAACATGTATGAAAATGAGCGCCTCTTGTGTGTAGGGGGTGCTTTGTGTATAAACAGAGGCAGGATATAGTGTCTATTAAAGCATATTCTCCAAATTCAGGATATCTAGGCCCAAGCCCTTAATTCAGCATTTAAAAGCTATAAGTCCTTGGGTGAGTAATTGCCCTCTTTACGCCTTGGTTACTCATCTCTAAACTGGGAACAAAAATAGTTCCTACCTCCAATATCCAAGGAGAGGGCAGATCGATGCAATGTCCATAATGTGCTTAAAATAATGCCTGGAACATAGGACATGCTAAAAACGTTAGCTGTTACTAAGTCATTCATGGCAATAAATATGTAAGTGACTGGGCTTGAAAGCCCTGGTGAGGATCTCTGTGTATAGAAATGTGTCTTTGGGTACATACATGAGGTTAGTATGTGTGTATGAATCCTATGTCTGAGGGTCAGGGGGTATGCATGTTTGAGTGTGACCTGCCTGTGAGTGCCTCTGTGTGTGTTTGTGTTCCACGAGATTGTGAACCTCTAAGGGCAGGGACTGGACTGTGTTTCAGTCATTATTATACCTAGGCCCTTAGGTATAGGATGTAACAATTGCTCAGCCAGATTAGTGTTGACCAAATGAATGAGGTGGACTGGACATTCAGAGATTGTTATTCATTTAGCATGCCCAGCTGCGAAAAACAAAAAAGCTGTAACTAGCTAAGTAGATTATAGATATATAGGTAGATAGATGGAGAAAACAAGGCGGCAGGTAAGTAGAGTAGGAGAGTTTGTGATGGATAGATGATAGTTAGGTAGGTATATACCTACATACATAGATAGGCAGGGTTGGCTCTGGTTGAGTAGAATCCCATGTACTTTACACTGGAAGAGATATTAGATGTGATATATCCCAGGGAGTTCTAGAACTTTGCTCTTGGTAACCGAATGGGTTATCATTGGTTTCTCTGAAGGCCAGAGGATGAGGGAGTCACAGAGGGGAGAGCTAAGCCCCCTATCTGACATCAACAAGAATCTATTTACATTTAATGTCCATATATTGGGTATTCATGTAGAATTGTATTTAAAGAAAGGGCCCCACTGTAAATGTTAGAAAATCTTGTTCTAGTCCAGTTCCTTTATTCTATAGAAGGGAGAAGATAAGCCTCAAAGAAGGGAAATGTTAGGGCCCCTGACTTCTATTTCAGGTGCAATGTCAGTGTACCTTCTTCCTTAAAAATGTAGTACCTCTGAATCCTCTGACTTACTGGGATAAAAGAAGCAATTTCTCACAAGAAATTCTCTTCTTAAGACACCACTATTATAGTAGACTTTTGGGGTATCTGTCCAAGAAACACTGTCATGTGTTTAAAACCTGCCAATTCAGGTTGGCCCATTGGCTATGTTTGCATTAGATGAGACCACTCACCTGGCCTCAGATATTTGCACCAAGGGAAGCACTTTGACCCAAACAGGGAAATCACATTCCCTCTTGTACAATTTGGATGTAGGATACCAAGTGCTAGTTGGTCTCTGTGGTCCCTGAATTAGAAAGTGAGGTGAAGCTGCAATATCCATATTTAATTAAGACATGATGAGTGAAGAGGAAGAGCTAGTTTCAGAATAAAGAAGACACATCAAAATTAGCAGATATAAAGGCTGTGTGGTTTCAAGACGACCAACATATGAAAAGACAGACAAACCTTGGTTTCTGGTGGTTTTCCTCATATAGCCATGTTGTATCTTCTGTTCTTGGATTTGTTTTTTTTGCTCCTATATCCTTAGAATTAATTCTCCTTTTGCCTGATTTAATTGGAATGGGTTTCTATTTCTTGCAACCATGCTATCTCTGAACATGAGAGGACTTTGGAAAGTCATCTCCTTCTGGCAGATAAACAGGCTCCACTCCCCTGTGGCCTGGCCCTAATCTGATCATTTTCCCCAAGGCCAGCTTGGACAGGCCTGTGTATAGCTATGGGAAGGAGAAGCATTCTCTCTTTATGGCATGTTTGTGGAGTTTTTTTGTGAGGGCCCATCAGGGGTTTCCAGAAAGAGACTTCACTTATCCCCCAGGTGCTGCTGTTAGATCCCCATGGCAGGATCAACACAGCATTTTTTGCTGGGACTTTTTGCTTACTCCAAGCAAGCACACCACTCTATTCATGGCTAGAGGTGTGTTCCAGAGTGACAGTGTCTCTGCATCCAAATCAAGCAGTTCCTCCAGCAGGTTTTGGCCTAGTCCTAGGCATATCAAAGCATGTCTATGGTATGGAGGGGGACAGGGGAACAGTGGGAACCAGTCTTCCCTGGAGTAGTTTCCAAAAGTGGACCCTTTACAACTTATTCCCATGGTGACTATTGAGACCATGATGGAAATACATCAGAGGACACAAGTAAAAGCAAGGATCAGTCTGTTCAATTCATCAGGAGTAAGAGCAAGGGGTACCTGGGAAGGAAGCATGGGAGGTGCCTTTTTTACAAGCTCATCCCCCTCTCCTCCCCCACCCAGTGACACAGCCGCTCTTCCCTGGAATTACAGACATAACACATGCTATATTTCTGGTAAAGGTTGGAGCTACAGAGGCATGGAACAAGTCTGACCCCAGGATCCTGGTAATAAATGAAGAAGTCAGGCCAAGACAGGCCAACAGGGCCCCCATCATGAAAGAAAGAGGAATACAAAAGCACAGAGTGTGTTGAACAAGGCAAAGCTCTTCCCTTTCCCCAAACCTAGCCTGGCCCAGAGTCTATGAACACCAAGATGGTCTCCATGATTTGGAGAGAGAACTGGCATTGCCGATGGGTGACTGGAAGCCATCACCAAAGGGAAGAATGCAAGCTTCAAGGCCAGATGCCCAGCTGAGGTCTCAAAACAGCTCAGCCAGGAGGATAGGCAGGAGAAGCATGGGCCAGGCCACCAGGAACCCTGAAATGCAAGAAAGATGCCTGTCAAGTGTTGGGCTTTGGAACTCAGCAGTCAACGCTAGCTAGCCTCTCTATCCTCTGACTTACAAGGACAAGAAAAGTAATATACCCCTAATATCTGTGCTAGGTTACAGCCCCTAGGAAGTGACAAAGGGGTCATGTGGTAGAGGCAAAGCTATCTAACCATCAAACACTTTTTCATATTCCTTTGGGCACACTGGAAAGCAATTTTTCCCTAGCATCCTTTGCAGGTAGGTGAGATCATGTGATTGATCTGGCCAGTGGAATGTGGGTAAAAAAAATCACATATACCATTTCTAGACCTGGTCCTTAAAACCTCCTACATGATTTTCCATGATCTTTCATCCACCATCTAGGGACCAGATGCCAAGGATCCAGCAGAGGACTTTCTGGGGACAGTGGAATTGCCAGAAGTTACCAGAAGGTAAGAACCTGAGTTCCTAATGACTGCAAAGCAGAGAACTGTATCCCCCAGTGATTTAGTGGGAAATAAACTATTGTGTAAAAACACAGAAAGTCGAGGATTGTTTGTCACAGCAGCCAACATTACTTATGCTGACTAATACTAAAGAGGCAGAATGACACAGAGGTTAAAAAGAATCTGAGTCCTGATTTCTTAGTTTAGAATTCCAGTTCTAGGGGCCTCTGGGTGGCTCAGTTGGTTAAGTGTCTGCCTTCACCTCAGGTTATGATCCCGGGATCCTGGGATTGAGCCCAGTGTTTGGCTCCCTGCTCAGTGGGGAGTCTGCTTCTCCCTTTCCCTTTGCCCCTCCCCCTTGCTCATGCTGTCTCTCTGAAATAAATAACATATTTTAAAGAAAGGAAGAAAAGAATCCCAGCTCTACAACTAGTTGTGCAGGCCTAGAAAGTTACTGAGCCTCACTATGGCTGAGTTTATCTGTATGCAAAATTAAAATATCATAAATAGCTATTACCTCATGGGACTTTTGTAAGGCTTAAGTGAGTAAATTCATGTCAAGCACTTAGAACAGTGCCTGGCACATGGTAAACACAATATAAATGTTGGTTTTGAAAAATTAGACTCTAAGATCTGGGAGGTTTGGAATCATATTTCCTCTGAAAATGACCATATACTCAGTGATAGTAAAGGGTGGATTCTGAATGATAGTTGCCTTGTACCAGGGGGGTTTGGGAGAGGTATATATACCCCCCCACACCATACTACAAAATTATAACATCTCCCCCTCCCACAAATTTCAAAGAAACTTGCTAATGTCCTAGAAGGGAGTGAAGAATATCATAATTTTCTGAAATATTAGTGTATGACAATCAGTTTGTAATTATGAAACATAGGCTCCTTTTTCTCTTTGCATTCAAATATCACCTCCTCTGAACACTTTTCTTGCCACTGACCCATTCTGATATTTATTTTTACTTCCTATATTATTTTTATTAAGATTCTATTTATTTATTCATGAGACACACACACACACACACACACACACACAGGCAGAGACACAGGCAGAGGGAGAAGCAGGCTCCATGCAGGAAGCCCAACGTGGGACCCGATCCCAGGGCCTCCAGGATCACACCCTGGGCCAAAGACAGCTCTAAACCGCTAAGCCACCGGGGCTGCCCTTCTTCCTATCTTATTAATAGAACCAATGTTCTATTGGTTCAGGACATGGCCACCCAGAATAAAGATTACATTTCCCAGCTTCCTTTGTAGCCAGGTGTGACTAAGCACTGACCAATGAGATGTAAGTGGAAGTATAAGGTGTCATCTTCTAGGAATGTTCCTTAACACCCTGTAACTTCTTCCATATTCCTTCCAACCTGGTGACTAGATGTGAAGAATGGAGCTCTGGCTGCCATCTTGGATCATGAGGATGAAGAAGGTGGAGGAGAGAGCTTAAAAAAACTTGGATTCTTGACAACCTTGTGGTACCACCCCAGGACCCCTGGATTTCTTGCCTCTGGACTTCATTTATGTGTGAGTAAAATAAATGACTATCTGTTTTTAGACACAATTACTCATGCTGGTAACTTTCTATCACATCACACTCTTTTCTTTCTAAATTTTCTTGTTAGCTTTTTATTGCCTATTTCCCACACTATAACATAAACTCCATGAGGGCAGGCACCTGGCATATCCTGTTCACTATTATATCTTCAGCATCTAAAACAATGCCTAGCACACAGTAGGCACCCAATAAGTATTGTTAAATGACTGGCACCTGCACTAGACTATTAGCATCTCAAGAGCTAGACTTGGGACTGATTAATTTCAGGGTCCACAGTCACTAGCACAGGCTAAATCAATGTGCACTGACTTGAGGAAGAAGAGAGAGTTGGGAGGGAGGGCAGTGAGATAGATAGGAGAAAATGATATACCTGCAGTGCTGGGGGTTCCATCTGTGATGTCAACAGATGCAGAACCTGGGGGCAAGAGCAGAGGTGAAGGTTTCCTCAGTCATGTGCTCATGACTGGCGCTGTGGTCATAGCTGCTCCAAGTTCTCCCAGACCACCACAGTCATTGACCTGGCCACCCACACTGTTGAGGCATCTGTTACTTAGCAGTTTCCTCTCTAAGCACATTTCATGCGTTTGAAATTTAGTCCTTCCAGCAGATTTGTGAGGAAAGTATTTGTGTCCATTCGACAGATGAGAAGACTGAGGCTCAATTGACCAAGGCCAAGTTGACCTTGTTGTAGATAGCAAAGCTGGGATTTGAACCCTCATCTGTCTGATTCCAAATGAAAGTTCCTAACCTTCCAGTTACCCTGTGATACCATATGAAGCTCCAAGTTGAAGGCTTAGTAAAGAGGTAGGACAACTGAAGGCAGAGCCTTCTTTACAAGACAGCCTCAGTTTACTCACCTGGAAAATAGTTCTTACTAGGATGACTGGCTCACAACTAGGATGTTGTGAGCATTCCATGTGATGATGTATATAAATTTTTGTACTGTGCCAGCCACATGTGTTATTACTATTACTGTCGTTGTTGTTACTAACATTACTGCATCCCAGTTTCTTTAGGACAAAAAACAATTGCTTTAATTCCTCTGGGTTTTTTGACTCCTCCATTCCAGCAGGAACAAAAACCAGAAAGTAATGCTGGCCCATGGGTAGGATGGGTAAAAAATTGTGGGGCAGTTAGAAAGTTTCCTTTACATCATGCCCCAGAATATTATAACTAGATTTTGAAAAACATAATCATTCGCTAGAAAACAAAGTTGAGTTAGGACGTAGACTTCACCCAAAAGAGGCTGAGGTAAGGAGACCTGGCAGGAGGAGTAAGGGAAAGGACATATGCTGTGGAATCAACCTGAGCTGGGTTCAGTTCTAACTCCAGCTGCTCATGAGCTGAGTGATTTGGGGGTGAGCCACTTAATCTCTCTGAGCTTTAGTTTCTTGCCTGGAAAACAGACTCAGTCAGCAAAATGAAGTGAGCTGATGGATACTTAGAGCTTAGCCTAGTCTCCAGCACATAGGAGGCTCAGCAAAAATGGCAAATGCTATTATTATTACCCAAAGCACCTCATGGAAAGATAGATTCACTTGTAGGGGCTGCAGTGAGGAGGCAGAAAAGGCTCTAGGTTGTTACAATGGTGACCCCAGGCATCTGTGGTTAACTGTCAGCACTTGACCGGCTAGCTGGCCCTCTCACCAGAAGTTGGCCACTTACTTCTCCGAGTGATGGGTCCCAAATCTAGAACCCAAGCTGGGTTGATAGCCACTATTTCACTACGCTGTTGACTTCTCGAGCAAGACTGTGAAGACAGAGAAATCTCATTATATCAAAATTTAGAGTCACAGTTCCTATCCCAGCTGTCCCTGCAATGGGACAAGAATCTGGCCCAAGAATGGGATCCTACCCACCATGTGGCCTTGGCTCTGAGGCTGTGGTTTTCTCAATCTAGAGAATTCTCACTATAATGTCAAACAAACATGGGTTTCAATCTCATCTCCACCCTCTTCTAGCTGTCCGATTTGGAGCTAATGACTTAACCTCTCTATTACTATTAAACGGTAACTTCCTGTTAAAATGTGCATGTCTGCAATACCCAGGCACATAGTAAGCACTCAACAAATGCCCAGTACTGGCAGGCAGTACCAAACAGGGGTTAAGAACATAGATACTGGAGTTCCCTTTCAGCTCTGATGCTTTCTAGCTGTGCTGGCCCTGGGCAAAAGATCTCTCTGAAGCTCAGTTTCCTCATCTGTACAATGAGGTCATAAAAGAATCTACTTAAAGGGTTGTGAGAATTTAATTAGATAAAGAATATGAAAGTTTTAGTGCAATTCCTGACATGGAATAGCACTTAAAAAGTCAACTATTATGAAATCATACAAAATATATCCTATGCCAAGGAAACCTAGTGGGCAGGCTTCTTCATCTGATCTGCTTCCTGGGGACACAACAATTGCATACACACAGGGTTTTCGGAGGTTGAGTGTCCATCCATTCACCCTTCCCTCCTTCCTCCCCTTCCTTCGTTCTTTCCATCCGTCTCTAATTCCAGTGAATATATATGAAGAGCCTACCAGGTAACAGGCCCCAAGTGAAGCTCTGAATAGTTCACTCTAAAGAGATACTCACCGGCTGGCACTGTTCATTAAGGGAATCGCAGAGATGAATCTCACAATGCAGGAACACTAGGTCATAATTTCCAGCAAACATGAACATCTGAACTGAGAACCGGCTTTCTGAGGACACCCCATTCTCCTCCACATGGATGGTGGAATCATATTGATTTGGGCAGCTGGGAAGGTGACAGGGGCAAGGGTCTAACTTTGAGAACAGCTCAAGGGACCTGAGGCCCTTGGCTATATCTTTAATCTGTATCCAGTATAAAAACATTATCACAGAGAATTAAAGAGTTCCCCCAATTCCCTCCATCCTGACATAGACTTTTATTCCTCTGGGTTTCATTCAAGACATTTATTTATCAGCTCAGTGGTTTCAGTTTTGTGGGGGCACAGACTCTGAGGTGAAACTGACTGCTTCAAACTGACTGCTTCGAGCCAGACCCACTTTCTAGCTAAGTGATCATGAGCAGATGACTTAACCTGCCTGAACGTTACTTTTCTTGTCTATACAGAAAGTAATCCATACTTCCTGGGGTTGATGTGAGCATTTAGTGACAGTGCTTGACACATAGCTAAACTCAATGATAAATATTAGCTAGTATTGTTACCATGGTTTGAATCATGATCTATACATATGTATGTTTCCTTTTTTTTTTGCCAGTTAACCATTTCAATGATATTTTGTCCCATAACACCTGCCATGCCATTTTCACATTGATTAGTCACTGTTAATATCTATATAATAGCCCATCGTTACTTAATGGATTCCTACTTTTGAACTATGAACCTATTGCCAAAGTTTTAAAGCATACTGAAATGAAAAATAATTGGCATTTCTTTATCTTGCTGACCTACTTTAAAGCTTTAGGCTAAAATTTCAGGAGTGATATTCCTAGGTCAAAGGTACAGTCATGATATGTAATTCCAGATTATTTTCTAAAAGAGGTAAGCCAATTTACATAACTTCCAGGAAGGGTCAAGGGAACATTCTCCCCCGCAAAACCTTATTCAGGCCAAAAGATAACACAGAGTTGCCCCTTACCTGTTTCTGATGATGAAATATTTCACAGGGTCAGTCCTGTCCTTAGTAGGTGTGGCATAGCAGTTCCTCAACAATAGGTTAAACCGGGAAGTGTCCCCTCTCTCCAAGATGGCACCCACATAGAGCATGGATTCGACAGCCAGCACAGCTGCGGCCCCTTCATAAGGAGATATGTAGCTCTGGTCTTGGAACAAGGCCATCCTGACAGTGAACTCTCCTTCCCCATCCACACTGATGTTCAGAGAACTGAGAACAGGAAAGCCATAAGAGTGTTACCAGTGAGAACAAAATAAATCCAGCCCTGCACTTGTGTGAGGCTATGAAGTGAAGGCATGCATATCTTTGATTCCTAAAGGAAGTCTTCAAACACTCAGTTAAATCAAGCATTTAGTATCTCTTAGGCACTAAACTTGATAAGTAGATGAGTGTGTCTCTGGATCTCCACCAGTTCTCCCTGCCTCCCAGATGACTCCTATCTCCTTCACTCAAAAATAACTGCCTAGTGCTTGCCTTTGTCTTCCCCTCTGTACAATGGGATCAGTCCTATGGGTTCATCATTTTAGCAGCAGAACTCCACCAGTGAATCATCCAGTGAAATATCCATTTTAAAAGAGGAATGGCTTTAATTTTTATCTATTATGAAACTTGGGGCCCCAACACAATACAGTCTGAAAACCATTGAACTAGAAAATTTCTAGTCCTAAGAATCCTGCCTCTCTGTGAGCCCAGGAGGCAATGAGGGGATGGGAAGGCACCCTGGAGTTCTGACACCCTCAGAAAGTCCCCCAGCAAGTCTAGGAATGCTGAGGAACCCATTTCACAGGGGCCTCATTCCAGGCACAGTGAGATAGCAGTGACCAAGCGTCTTCCCAAGTGGACTCCCAACCAAATTGCTACTTGGTTCTATTTCTAGTGAATTGTGGCTGCTGTTTATCCAGTCAAAGCTGATCCCAGCTTCAATCACCCATGTGCAGGGATGCCTTCCTGTCCCACCATCCCCACACCACCAAGATTAGATCAGGGACCCTTGCTCCCCGACCCCATAGCACCCAGTGCTTCTCCCACATTGCATTCACCTCACTTGTAAATAATTATTGTTGTAACTAGTTCCTTAATTCCTTTCTTCCTCAAGATAAATGAAACCGTGGTATGTTTTTGTTCCTTATCATATTTAATTAACATTATTTCATGTTGCTGCATTGCTTCATAGCAATAATCTTTAATAGCCACAAAATGTTCTATGTCTGCCTTGCGCATGCTGAACATTAATCTATGATCAACAAATATTTGCAGAATGAATGATGGGAAGAGTGCGAGTCCTGAAGGAGGTAGGCAGCATTCTGAGGACATCTTAAGTTGTGCTTGAAGTGAATGTGATCAGTGCCAAGGTTATGGATCAAAGGTTAAGGATCAGTGCCATACCTTACAATGGGATGCAGGGCAGTTTGGAGGCTGACTTTCATGTCCAGTGGGTAGGCACACTGGAAATTGATGTTGAGGATGGTGTCTCTGATGATGAATTCATTGGCCAAGGAGAGGGTGTTTTTGTAGATGGCATGGGTTCCATTTCTCTTTGGCATGAAAACAAGACCACATATATGTTTATGTGTGTGTAGATGTATCTAGAACTCAGGCTTGCCTGACTGCAAGGTTGATGCTCTCAATTATGCTGCCACCCAGCCTTCTGATCTCCAGGAAGCACCCCCACCCCAGTGGCTCTGACGCTTTATGGGAAGGGGAGTGAGAATCCCAGATCAAAAATTAAAACAATAATTTTTGGCCCTTGGAGAGAATCAGCAGCCACCATGCTTGCTCCCATGTCGACCTCTCCCACATCACCCCTAATTAAAATAATCATAATGGTAGCTTACATTTATTGAGCTCAAGTAGCAAACCTGTTCTAAGCTCTTTACATGAGCCAACATGTGTAATCTCAGATACTACTAGAAGCCCAGAGAGGGTCAGTGACTTGTCTAAGTTCTCACAGCTACTTAAATGAGTTTCATAGTTCAACTCCCACCCTTTGGCAACAATGGCATAAACACCATTCACCTCCAGAATGTTTCCACAGGCCCTAGCCTGGGTAGGGCTGGTCACAGATATCCAGTTTCTCTCCTCTCTTTGCATCATATTGCTGCAGTTCCAGTCTCGCAGGTAGGCGATGACCTCGTCCCCAAAACCCAGGCCTCCCAGCTGACACTTGTCCAGTGACACCTGGATCTCCTTGGCCCCGCAGTTTAGCCGAGGCTGCAAACTGTGGACATCTGGAAAGTTGAGAAGGAGATAGGTGGAGTGGACAGGGCTTTGGAAGCAGTGGGCAGAGCCCACATTCCCTACCCTTTACAAATGCCATCATACCCACTGGGGAGTTGGATAGACTAGTAGGGGCCTGGGACCCAGGTAAGATTCACACTTAGGCTTGTGGTGGATGAGGTTGGCAAAAAAAATCCCCTAGTTCAAGATTTCTAAGCATCCTGTGTGCAGGTGTGGGGAGGTCTTAGGAACCCGGGATTAGGGTCTTTGGGGATTGGGGTCTCTAGAGAAGTAGGACTATCCTGTATTCCAGACTAGAATCAAAGGTAGATATATACTACTCTGACTCTCTGGCTTTGTGAAGTCAGCACATATGACCAGGTTCAGAGCCATTGTATTTCTTTTGTTCATTCATTCACTAATTCATTCCATTCATTCATTCATTCAACATTTATTCAACAGATACTTCTTGGGCATTTACAATTTTCACTGTTCTAGGTACTGGGAATACAGTGTTTGTCAAAACTGACAAAATCCCTACCCTTATGGAGCTAAAATTCTGATAGGGGAGATTAAGTAAGCTAAGAGAAATAGTTTGATTGGATTCATGAATGCTTTCATTCAAATACTTTTAGTAACCACCTTCTCGATGTGCAAGGCACATTCAACACAAAAATAAAGAAAACATGGGCCCAACCCATGAGGAGTCCTTGGTCTTGTGTAGGAACCAACATATCAGTAGCTTATTAAGATGCCATATGATTAAAGTACTAACTGAAGTATATTCTAGGTGCAGAGGGAAACACAAGAAGGCATATCTAAGTCTGTCAGCTAAGTCAGGGAAGAATTCACGAAGGGCTGGAACTTGGTTCAGTGGAAGGAGTTTTGCAGGTGCAAGAGAGGGCACCCCTGCCTAAGGGAACAGCAGAGGCAAAAGCATGGTGATGGGAGAGAGGATGTGTGTTTACAGAGATGCAGAGCTCAGGTGTATAGGAACTTAGAATGGGTGGGGGTGGAGTGTGAAAGATGGAGAAGTAAGCAAAAGCCAGATCACAATGGGGTTGTGCCCAGAAGCAATGGAGACTTGCTGAGTAGCCACCAATGAAGATTTGAGGCAGATCACCTGCCCACTCAATCAGCTGAGAGGACCTGCTAAGGACACCCTTGGAGTCTCCAGGTATAAGGAGGGCATCCTTGAAGTCCAACATCTGATTCTGTGATGGCCCAAATTCTTGGAAACAACAGAGTGTCTGGGGGCTTGCTCACTCAGTGAGCAGAGAGAGCCTTCATGGAGAGCAAGGTTGTTTCCTAATAGTTTCTTGCCCCCACTCCACTCTTGCCAGGCACACCCCAGCACTACCTGGTCGACACTACAGCCCAGTTTTCCAAGCATATGCTTGTTCTTGGCTCACTATCTAGGACACCTTCTCTTCCACAGGGACGGGGAGTGTGCTGTGCATGCTTATGCCAATGACAAGACTCAAAGGCCCTCATTAGACTCCTAGGAGGGAATGAAATAATCTTAATGGGAAACTCATCCAACCCCCATCCAGGGTTTAGGGCTTGTTTATGGCATCTCTACCCATGAGTCATCTGCCTCCTGACTCCTTGCTTACCTCCTGGAACAAGAACCTCATCATCTTCCCAGCCCGCCCAATTGGACAACTCTGATTTAATTTTTGTAATTGCTCTTTATGGTGGTTATTTTTACTATTATCTTATTCCCATTTTGCAGATGAGGACATTAAGGCTCAGAGAGTATAGGCGTCTTCCCAGGCCCCAGAGAGCTACTATGTCACAAATCCAGAACTGGCACAGGAGTCTGCCCATGTCCATCACATGTAGATTCTGCAGCTATTTTAATGAAGCTCCCACACTTGCAGAGTACTCACTTGGCCCTCATGGTCAAGCTCATCCATGCCAGAGCTGCTTCCTGAACCTGTGATCCAAAGACTGACCTGGAAATTTTTCCCATTCCTGCTCTCCTATCCTTGCAAATGGCTTTGAGAACCTTTATTCCCTGACCTCAGTTCTATCCCCACTGACTCTAGTCCACCTCTTGTCCTCACCCTCTGAAACTCCCTCTCTGCTGTCTTGCCCAGTCAGACCAGCATTGTTCCTACTGTCCAGTCCCACTGAGCCACTCACCAGAGCTGTTGAGGTCCGATCTGCAGAAACAGTCCCAGGTGCCATTGAGAAAGCTACAGGCCTCTTCCGGGCGGCAGAGGTTCTTACACTTGTCTGTGGCAGTGGAGGCATCTAGGGAGTAAAGCACAGAGGAAGAGGATCAGAATGCAGAGCAGTGTGATCTGAGGCCACTAAGGCCAAATCTGTCATTCTACCAGGGTACAGAAGTCCTGCCCAAGGATGTACAATAAGTATGTAATGGAAGGGTCAAACCTCAAACTCAGATTTTCTGATTCCCAATCCAGGGAAGTGAGAACCCAGAGGCTGCCATCCTAATGGTTACTATGTGGCAGACTCTTATGAGTACCTTTCACAAATTAGCTCATTCAATTTTCATGGTAACAGTATGAAACTGGGTAGCATAATGGTTAAGTATATAGATTGTGGAACTAGAGTGTCTGGGTTCAAATCCCAGCTCTATCATGTTCTTGCTCTGTGACACTGGGAGAGCTGCTTAACCTCTCTGTGCGCTAGACCTCTCATCAGGTGTAGTTATTTTGTACCTATATCTCATGAGGCTGGTGAGAAGATTAAGTGAGTTATAATCTAAAGCACTTTGGATGGGAGTGAGGACACTGTGCTTTGGCTGTTACTTTTGCCGTCATCCATTTTTACAGATCAGAAAAAGCTCAGAGAGGTAAATTAAGCTGCCCAAATGAAATATAAATCTGAATGAGCCTCAGTTCTTCATATTAGGCTACACATATGAAGATCTATCTTTCAGGAGATTTGGCCCTCAACTCTGAGTTTCTGGCTTTCCTTGAAATGCTGGAAAGCCTGGCAACCTTGGGTGACATCCCCACTGGGCCCTAACAGGCAGGAGCTGAATCGAGGCTGTCCTGCTTAGTCTCCTGGTCTGCTCTCCACTCACTGCTGATGTCTGGGCCCAGCTCCAGGTAGCCCCACCCCACAGCTGCCTCCAGCTCTCTACAGCTCACCTGTGCAGTACCTCAGAGTACACTTGGGGGTGCCCTCCAGCCGGTACACGTGGAACTCGCCCGGGCAGGCCTTCACCTGCACCACGGTCTTCCAGAGACAGCAGTTGCCGCTCCAGTGGGCACAAGCTGTACGGTTGACAATGCCCTCCGCAAGGGTGGGGTGGGTCCCGTTCAGCCACAGGGGAGCATCTGTCTGGCATCGGTATATTGGGACGCAGGTCTCGGGCATCCTCACTCCTCCATCTCCCACAAAGCGGTACCAGCCATGCTTGTCCTTGTCACACAGTTGGCTCCCTTCTGTGTTCTCTGTGCTTCGTGAGGGTTCATCCAGGAGGGTGTAATTCTGGCAGGGGTCATAGGAACGAGTGTTGATGAGGTTTCTGTTACCTGGAAAGCAACAGTGTTTACTGAGCATCCTCAAAGTCCATGGGATTTTAATCCCCCCCCCCACACACACACACTCTCTCTATTGTTTTTGTTTTGTTTTGTTTTAGAGAGGGAGGGCAGACAGGAGAGAGAATCTCAAGCAGTCTCTATGCTTAGTATGGAGCCCAACATGGGGCTCAATCTCATGACCCTGAGATCATGACCTGAGCCCAAATCAAGAGTCAGACACTTAACTGACTGAGCCAATGAAGCACCCACACACACTCTGTTTTGAATTTTGAATGTGCTTAAGGACCCTAATGAGGACATGAGGCAAACAACCTATTCATTAACCATCACCAGCCTTCATCACCTTAGAGTCAGAATATAATGAGGACATTTTATGGTATTTTATAGGCATTAAGAACACCAAGGTCTTCACGCTGCACAATTCCAAGGGGCATCCTTCTCATTGAGCTTGGTGCCCTCTCCCTGGCTCTAGAGTTGTGCAGTGCTCCCCTGTGCAACTGTACACTGTGGTCCTCTCTGACCAATGTATTATAAATGTAATATGGGCTCACTGGAAAAACTTCAAATGTCATTATTAAAATTAATAAAGTAGAAATGAAAGTTGTCATAAGCCCATTCTATTTCCAGAAGTAACCATAAATTTGCTGTACAGTCTTCAGACTTTCTATTCATATGTTTAAAATATAGGGTTTTTAAAGTGGGTTTAAAGCTGTACAGCTTTTTTCCCCACTTACATATTTTACTTACTATATCATAGACATTTTTCCATTATTAATAGATATAGATCTAACACAAGATTCCTCAAGCTCGGCACTACTGATGTTTGGTGTTGGATGATTCTGTGTTATGGGGGACTGTCCTGTGCATTGTTGGATGTAGCTTTCCTGGACTCTTCTTGCTAGATTCCAGTAGTTCCTTCCTCCTGGAAGTTGTCTCCAGACACTGTCCAAATCACCTCCAATGGAGAACCACTGCTCTAACAGGACCATTTCTAATTTTGCTGATCTCATGTTTTTGTTTTTTAGGCTTATTTATTTATTTTTTAGACAGAGAGAGGGGAGGGACAGAGGGAGAGAGAAAAGGAGAGAATCCCAAGCAGACTCCCCGCTGAGCACAGAGCCTGATGTGGGGTTCAGTCCCACCACTCTGAGATCATGACCTGAACTGAAATAAAGAATTCAACCTTAACTGACTAAGCCACCTAGGAGCCCTTGATCTCATGGGCTTTCTTTCTTTCTTTCTTTCTTTCTTTCTTTCTTTCTTTCTTTCTTTCTAAGATTTTATTTATTTATTTGAAAGAGAAAGAGAGGGCATGAGTTAAGGGGAGGATAGAAGGAGAGGGAGAAGCAGACTCTCGGCTGAGCAGAGAGCCCAGCTCAGGCCTTGATCCCAGGACCTGGGAAGGCAGATGTGCAACCAACTGAGCCATTCAGGTGCCCTGATCTCATAGTTTTTAACAGATTCAGGAACTATGATGTGTGAGGAGACTGAGAGGTCAAGGGGTGGGCTGGCCAGTCTGAGTTTAAATCCAGCTCCACACCTGCTGGCTGGATGACCTTGACAGGTGGTTCAACTCCCCTGAGATTCATCTGCAACATAACACCTGCAGGCTGGTGGTTTCTAAACTCTTTCCATTCCTATGCCTTGAGTCACAATGTTTGCCATATCTGTGTCCCCCTCTCCAATTATCTACTTAATATGTTTCTTTCAATGATTCTCTATAAATTTGTTTCATCTTATGGAATAATATCTGTGATACCATAGGTACGATGTACTAGTTAGATATTCTTAATATAAATGAAAAAATATACATAGCCATCAAATAATTCTTTAAGAGCTTGTCATACACCTCATACACCACTGTAGTCCTCTCAGGAGGTGTCCCACATTTTGGGGACATAAAGTCCTAAGGCATTGCTAGAGGATTAAATGAGATAATAAGTGTAAAATGCGAAACACAGCATCTGAGGCCTATTAGGAGTTTGGGCTGATTCTCTTCTCCAGTTTTGATTTACTGAATTCAGGCTCTCAGTGTAAGAGCCTGAATTATGGACAAATATAGACACAGGATCACATTCTTGTAATACACGTCAGAGGGACTTTTTAGAAAAGGAGATTTTCAAGCCTTGCTTATCTATATGCTTGTTTTAAGAAAAGGAGTCACTGCTGTTCTTGGATTACTTCCCACATACCATCCTTCCCCGCCCCACCACCCCCTCCACAGGTGACTTAGGCAGAAATTTCAGCCTGGTGTTGAGCCTGAAGACCCTTTCTACAAGCATCTGAGATGCCCTGTTCACAGATCTTTGAAAGGACCACCAAGAGATCACTACCTCTAGTCCTTTCTTTTTATAGATAAGCAAACATTCAGAGGAAGGAGAAGGTGCTTGACAAAGCAAGGGCACAGAGTGACTAGGTGATTCATGTCTCCATGAATCTGGGCTCTCTGAGCTCCACATATCTGGGCATGGGAAGTTATGTTAACTGGTTCCATGGTCCTTGCAGGGGGAGATTTCTGATTTGGTTCTTTAAGTGATTATGGCTGCATTCTATTTTCCCTCATCTTGCTCCCCTTGACTTCTAGCTGCTGAGTCTTTGCTTTAGACATGTCCCTGTCCCCCTCACTGACCCTGAACTACCTTCCCTGTGCTCCCCCTCTCCACAGGTATTACAGAGCATCTGAGATGCCAGGTGAGCAGAGCACACACCTTGCTGTTCTGGAGATGCCAGGGTCAGAATGCAGGAAGCCAAGGCCAGCCACAAGACATAAGAGCCAACCATCTTTTCCATAAGTTGAGACATGCAGGTCATTCAGCAGCGTGCAGATTCTCCATGCAGCTAGAGGAAGAGAAAGACTCAAATACCATCAGGGTGACAGAGGTTATTTCTCTGGGTATAAGGCTAAGATGGGAATTCACATCAATTCAGTACCATGATTTATACTCAGCCCCTTGCATATGTTAGCTCATTTAAGGCTCTGAACCACCCACCAGGGAAGGTACCATTCTTGCTCCCATTTATGGATGAAGAAGGATATTGGACTCAGAGCATATTAATCCCAGAAATATTTACTGAGCTCCTCCTACATGCAGGCACTACGCTGGAAGTGAAACAGCTTGCTTAAGGCCACAAGTCCATGTTCCCAGAAGCAGACCCATGACTTCTTCCATGAAGGGCCATATTGTTTTAAAGCAGGTGTGACTTGCAGAGAGGAGGTGGGATAATGACACTAGGAAGTTTGCCAAGGGGATGAGGTTGATAGCAAGAAAACCAAAGGCAAAATTGGTACTGCAGAACATCCTAGAAGGCCTCAGGTTGGCTCCTACTCAAGCATAGGTAGAGGCTCAGGGAGACTGGATGGAGTGCTATGAGTATCTACAGAAAAAAGTAACAGCTGCTTTCTTAGTTCTGGTGTCTTGGGCACTGCCTTAAGAGACTCCTGAAATGCCTATAATGCATACAGATTTCCTGTAAGGGTAGGACCATGTCAAGCTAGTCCACATTGCTTGCTCCTAGCATGGCGTTTGGCACATATGGGGTGCTCAATAAAGGTCTGAGCAATAAATGAGTAAGTACATGGGAGGTGGGGAAGACAGAAACAAGGAGCTATGAAGAGCCTGTCAACACTAATTAGTAACACTCCCTCTTCAGGGAAGCTTTCCTCCAATGAGCAGATCTTTGATGACTTCTTAAAGCCTCTGGAAGACTCAGGTTGATGCTAGAGATCTATCTGTTTCTGGAGCGGATATCATGAATATGTTACTAGAGAGCACCCAGGACTGGTAATTCCTAGGGATGAGATCCCAAGTAGGGGCCTACGTTCCTGGAGGAGGGACAGGCTGAGGGGGGATCTTTAGACCTGGAATAGCCAGCAGGTAGTTGGAACCATGATTAAGCTGGGCACAGATGACATCTAGAGCACCTGACCGGGCTGAAAGCTCTTCTGAAAGTTTCCAGAAACAAACAACCCTAGCATATCCAGTGAGTCAAGGGTGGTGGGGGAGCCCCCCAAGATCGGAAAAAAGTCTGCTGGGGCTTGAAGTAGGACTTACCTGGGGGTACGAACACAGAGCTGTCCTCCTCTGGTCAGCCATGGGAAAGCCTGCTGTGTACCATACTTTTATTGCAATTTCCCACCTACGTGGCTCTCCATGATTGGTGCCCAGGTAGGACTGGAATTAATCTTCCAGGTAGGTATACATTGGTCTTGTTGGGCGTAGGTAAGATAAGTGATTTACTACAGAAAATAGCAGAAGAATGTCTCCTTCCACAAACCAATGAAACTGGTGCCATATTTATTACCAGAAACCAAACACTGATCAAAAGGGAGCTTAATACCCAAAGGGAAGTGAAAGAAATCAAACAGGCACTTGTTTGCACAATAGATTTCCAATTGTACCTTGTGTTCTTAGCTAATCACCTTAGAACACTTCTGCTTCTGTCTGGATGCCACTCCACTTGCAGCTAGTTAGAGCAAGGGAATAAATAAAGAAGCGGGGGATGGTGTTTCCTATATTTGACCCATAGACTCTACCCACCTTCAGATACTCAGTGTTGAGGAGTCTGGGAAGGGCCAGCTTGGTGAATCATGGAGTTATACCAGAGGACAGACAAACTAAGAGTCAGCGTCACCTCTCCTCCAATCCCTCCTAATATGTGGGCTACCCTAGAGATTGGAAGGTATGGAACAGAGAGGAAGCCATAAATCTTGGACTTAGAAGTGTCAGGCTTAGACCTGGCTTCCGTAGCATGGTATCTGGACATCAATAAAGAAGTCGAAGCTTTTGCAGAACAAGTGGTCACGGCCTGTTCTGTGTTTCTGTGAGACTCTTTAAGGAGCTGAGACTACTGAAGGCAGGGAGCACAGAGGTCTTGGCATTGATCACACCTTCCAGCAAAACCCCAACCTGGGCAAAGAAAAGGTGCTACAAGCCACCTTCTCTACTCCTAGTACATTTGGAGAAAAATCCCCTAAATGTGGAACTTATAACCACCGAAAATGCAGGATTCCAAAATTCATCTGGTCCCACAAAACAGTTCCTCCATCCCTCTTCCAACTACTCCATTCCAATCTGAACCATGCCACTAGAGCTGCCCTGTTAAGGCCAGATCTTAAGGTATTTTTTTCCTGGCCCCTTAGTACATTTTTTGCTACGTCCTCCAGGCACTCTGCCTCTCCCTGTCTCTGCTGTGCCAGTGTTTCCTTGATTTGGACACTCTTGCTCTGTCATTATCCTCTTCTTTCAGATGTCCTTGAGAATGCTAGTAGGTCCTGTTTTTCTTATCATTCCATATACTGTCACTGGAAGGTGTCAAGTTATCTCCTGGTTTCTAGTATCCTTTACAGGCTGGTGAGTTTCAAATCTGTATCTTTATCCCTGACCACCCCCCTTGAATATCAGATCCATCCGCCCAACTGCCTGCTGGACCTGTCTTCTTGGGCCAAGATGCAGCAGGCCCAAATCTGAACTCATCCATTCCCTAAATCTCTCCCCTTTAAATAGCATCATCTATCTTAACCTATGGTACTGGTATGTACCTGGTCACCCAAGCTGGAAACGTGGCTCCTTCTTCCCTCACATTTCCAGTAATCACCACAACTTGTTACTCACTTTTCAAATATTTCTTGAATCTATCTTTCCTTCTTTAGCCCCATTTCCCAAACCCTAGTTCAGGCCACCTTCACCTTATGAGGGTGCCTAGCGGGGCTCCTTACTTTCATTCTTGCCTCCTTTGATTCTGTTACCTCTCCTACAGCCAGATGCCATAACATCACCTCTCAGCATTACCCCCCACTCCTGGGATCTGACCACTGGCCGCAGCTCCTACGTCATCTACAGATTCTCCCCACCAGATTCTATATTCCAGCCAATCTGTGGCTCTCTGAACTCTTCCCCACCTCCTGACTTTTACATGTTTGCTATTCCTTCTGCCTAAATCATACCATGCCTGGCCTCCTACATATTTAGGTCCATCTCTCCCAGGAAGACTTTCCTGAGCACTGTAGGCTTTCTGGTGCTTCTTTTCTCTTCTCCTATGCCTCTATGGGCTGATTCCAATCCCACTCAATTACCACTAATTTATCTGTCTCCCTCTGAAGGCTGTAAGACCTTTATGGACAGGGATCCTGTCTTTGCAGTTCTAACCAGCACCTAGTAAGTGCTTGTTGGGTAAATCAAAGGGGGAAAAAACATAACATACATGCTTCAGAGCCTCTCCTGTGAGTAATGCTTCAAAACTTATGGCTGTCCAAGTCTTAATGAAACCTTTTGGGGAAGACACAAGATCCTGCCTCAGAGCCTTTACACTTAACTGTAATGCTCTTCCTCAGATATCCTCCTGCTTTGTTCTCTTACTTCTCTCAGTTTCTTTTTATCAGAAAGACTTTTCCTGACCATAAAATAACATCCCCATAGCTCTATTCTCTGTTCCTTATTTTTTCCCCCAAAGTGCTTGTGCCTGACATTTCACAAAATTATTGTTTAAATGTTTTCCCCCTTTTAGAGACAGAACATAAAGACTCCTAACTCTGGGAAACAAACTAGGGGTGGTGGAAGGGGAGGAGGGCGGGGGGTGGGGGTGAATGGGTGATGGGCACTGAGGGGGACACTTGACGGGATGAGCACTGGGTGTTATTCTGTATGTTGGTAAATTGAACACCAATAAAAATTAATTTATAAAAAAAATGTTTTCCCCCTTTTAAACATAAGCTCTTTACCAGCAAGGACTCTGTTTGATTACTTGCTATTTCCCTGGTGCCTATTCAGCATTGAATTTATGCTTAAAATATCTATTGAATATTGAGCTTAATACCTGATAAAAAACCAAGAAACTAAAGAAAAGGAAAAAGAACAGAGGAATAAAGGGATTAATTCTAATGTGTTTTCTTTTTCCTGGTTCTTGCCTTTGGCCCCTGTTTTTATTTTTCTTTTTCTTCATGTTCTGTTGTACCTGAATCAAAGTGAATCTGCACACAATTCAGCCAGTCTCCACTGACCATGGATTGACCATAGACAGGCGTGGGCTCTACCCCCAAAGTCCTCCTACATAAAGCTCTTATGTAAAGGCAGCAGGTATAGGGATTTGGTGCATGTCCATATGTCTGCATGTGAGGTCCCTTAACTCAAGATACACATCCCCATAATCCCTGTTTGCTGATACACACGTGTGGTTTTCCCTGAGGTCAGAAGGCTCTAATAATGCAACAGGGCCTTGGTCTGTCCTGGAAAGCCACAGCTGGAGTCCTGGAAAGCAGCTGGTGTCAGGGCAGAAATTTCCCATCAGTGTTGGCTTCCACTGGCCTTGACACAGATGTCTAGCAACCTGGAATATCTTGGTTTCTGATTGTGCCTTCAGTGAGCCTCCTGGAGGACCCTTATGAAGCAACCCTGCCCAAAGAGGGTAGTGGGTCTGCTCTCCAGTGCTGCTGCTGCTGTGGCTCTGTACACAGGCCTACATCTCCTGGATGCAGAGGGACGGGTGCAATGGAGGGAGGAGGTCCTTAGGATGTGTCAGTATATCCCCTCTAAAGATTCTGAGACTTCTGAAAACAGGGAGTGCTTCTGTCTATTTCACTAGTGTCTCTCCAATACCTATCACAGTACCTGGCATGTACTAGGTGCTCACATAAATGTTTCTGCAAAGTTCAATGGATCCTGTGAAAGCATCATTATTATCCCCATTATACAGCACCAGTGGCCTCCAGTTACACCTTCCATTTCTGCCATGCCTGCCACACTTGTCATCACCATTCAAGTTCTCCCTTTCCTGCCATACTGTAAGCACCAGGAGAGAAGGCTTTGCGTTTGGCTTGTTTTCTTCTGTATTCCCTAACACAGTGCCTGACATATAGGAGATGGAAATATTTCTTGAATAAATGGATGAGTGGATGAATGAAAGCATGGGTGGATGAAGCTCGACATCCAGCTGACATGGAGACATTGTGGTTTTTATCTAAGGTTACACAGCAGAACTAATTGAACCCAGTCTCTCTGACTAGAATGTGAACTCCGTGAATGTGGGGACGTAGCCTGGTTGTTCTCACCACAGGATCCTCAGCACTATGATAAGTTCCTACTTTGGATAGTAGGTGCTCAATAAATACTTATTGAATGAATGAATGACTTCAATGACTGAGCTTTTAAAATTATTATTATTTTGCCACAATCTTTAAGGAGACATGGGGCCTCATGTGCACACGTCACAAGTCCCATTTTGAAAGAAGGCAGAATTTAAAGATATTAAGATATTTTGTGATAATGAGGATTAAAGGTGCGGAAAGAGGAGCAGGTGACTGAAGTGTGAGTTCCCTTTTCTGTGGCTGGAGCACTAAGCGGCATCATCCCCAGCCAGCAGGAAATGAAGCCACAGAGCACAGGGTTTCCAGCTGCCAATCACTGAAACATCAGGGTCAAGGTGGCCGATAGAAGCAGAGGCAGGCAGACCTTCAGGAACCCTGAAAAGAAAGCAATTACAGGGCTGCTGCGAGCACTGATGTGCCTTTGTGCAAAACTGATGTAAGATGCCCCCTTTAGACTGATCGATTAGGAAAGAACACCCTCTCTGGCCTGGTCAGTTAGAAAAAGGAAGCTTTCCCTTTATCTGCCCTGAAAACCAGTTAGAAAAAGGTGCTAGTTGGGGTGGAAAAATAGAAAAAGGGGCCCTCCCAGATGAACCAAATTGGAGAAGACAGCCTTTCCTCTGGCACTGGGATTGGAAGCTCCTCAAAAGGACACTCATGTGCAGTGCCCAAACTATTCAACCATCCTTAGTGACCTCTATATTCACAGAGGACAAGCCTTTTAGGAACACCTTCAATCTTCAGCTCCAAGCTTCCTGGTGCAGGGTTGGTCTAGATCAGATAAAACACTAGGTTGGTGTAACACTTCCTTCAGATTGAGGTGTCAGGAGCCAAGAAGGGCAACAAGTTACATTAATTCATTTTTCATCCAGATTTTCAGACAAATCAGTGTGTCTGAAATCAAAGGCCATAAAATGCCACCTGTCCCTGGTCTTTGTGGTCAGAGAGGCAGAGAAACAGGGTTTCTTGTTTTTCTAACGTGTTCATCCCGGAACTAAGCATGGTCCTTGGCATGTAGTAGCACTCCACATATATTTGTCACCTGTTGAGTGAACCCTGCAAAAGGTGTTAGAGATGAATCACAAAGCTTCAGGAAGTGCCCAAGGTCTAGATCTAGTGTATGCAGGTCTACTGGGTATAAGTTTGTGGAAGTATGTGTATGTCTGTACCTGCAAATATACATGCATGCAACTCTAGCATCTCTGCATCTGTGTGTGTAAATATGAACACATGCATATGATCTAGTGTGTGTGTGTCCACAAACATGTCTGGGTGATGAACACTCTGTGTGCCTGTCTATGCACCCCTGTGTCTGTGTGCACATATGCACTACTGTGAGACAGCACAGGTATATGTGCAGCCCCAGTATCAGGCATTTCCACAGATGCAGTCACCTCTTTAGAGCTCAAGCCAAGCAGGCTAAACACTCCAGCACATCCTGGGCCACAGATAAAAGCCCCAGAGGAAGGTTCTAGTGGAGGTCCCCCTGAAAAGAGGACCTGAACTTACCCAAGCTGCTGGAAGCAGCCCTTGAGACCACTGCCTGGACATCTGTAAAGGGAAAGAGAAGGATCAGTGCAAAGAGAAGGCATGCAGTTGGCAAGAAACCTGAGAGATATCCCTTCAATTTGCCCTTCTCCTTGCAGTTAGAGTGGTATTTTTGAAACCCGGGTCTGATCATGTCACTTCCCTGCTTTGGACCCTTCAGAGGTTCCCCACTACTTTTGAGAGAAAGACCCAAAACCTTAGCAACTGTAAGTCCCCACATGGTCTGAGCCCACCTGTATCAGCTCATCCCATACCAATGTCCTCTTACCAGCCTGCCCTTTACTCAGTTCCTCCAGCAGGTTGGGCTACCCACTGCCTCCACCATCCCCCTACCACCACAGGCCCTTTGCCCATGCTGTGCCCTCTGCCTGGGATTCCCTTCCCCTCACCCACTTTCCCTGACCTCTCTTGGTTAATCTCTCCTCAATCTGAATAATGCCTTCTCCACTGGTCTCTAAGCTCCATGTGATCCAGGTCTGTGTCTGTGTCTGCTTACAAGATCCCCAACCACTAGCACAGGGCCTAGCACAGAAGAGGTACAAGAACAAATTTGTGCAATGGAATGAATCAATGATGAGGAACCAGTAAAAGGAAGGCAGCTTGAAGTCCACAGAATCCACTTTCTCCAGTTCTTCAGAATCCAGTAACATCCATGTGCCAGGTTCTGGCATCCTTCCTCATCTCCAGAGAATATTCCCCACCAGAAACATGGGGGAGGGAGTGGTTCTCTTACTTTTCCGTGTGATGGGACCCAAGTTCAGGACGCGGCTTTGGTCTATGATGCCTCCACTGCGGAATCTGGTTCCAGAGCAGGTCTGCAGGAAGAGGGCAACAAAGAAATTGTTGCATGAGGGAGATAGATGTGGTTCTGCCATGGGGAGTGAGTGGGCTGCCCTCCCTCAGGGGCATCTTCCTGCCTCAGGCTGGGGCTTGAGGATGGTCGAGGCAGGAGTTGTCAGGAGATCCATACATTTGGGTTTATGCCCCACATGATCTTAGGAAAGTCACTTAAGTTCTCTGAGCTTCTCTTGCCATATAGAGAACTAATAACATGCCTCATCTCTAGTTACTTGTGAAGCATTAAAAAGTTAACATAGATAAGGTGCACCTGCTGCTTTAAAATGTCCGTGTCTGTTATCAGAACACAAGCTTGCAGATAAGCCAGAGCATTTACCAGCCTGTCACACTGCACTGATCCTGCCTGATTTCCCAACAGTTTTGGTCTCTCACATGGCTATGTCCAACCCCTCGTACTGCTCATTCTCTTCCTGGACTAAAAGGGAAACAGCAGAAATGTTTGTTTTCTTCTGGACCTTGTGACCAAATGTCTTTGGTTATGGGAGATGGGGAGGAGCCTGAAGGAGGAGAGGCAACTCACAGGTTTGCATTTTTCATTAATGATGTCGCAGAGATACACTTCACAGTGCAGGTAGACCAGGTCGTAGTTCCCGGCAAAACGGAACATCTGGACAGAAAATCGGCCCTGAGGGGACTCCCCATTCTCCACCACCTGGATGGTTGAGTCCGTAGTGCGTGGACATCTGAGGGTGTTAAGTCACATAATGCGGGTGGTGAAGCAAGTGCTCTGGAGCCAAACTTCCTGGGTTCAAATCTCACTCCACCACCTATCAGCTGTGTGTCCTTGAGCAACTTAATTTCTTTGTGCCTCAGTTTCCCCATCTGTATACAGCAGTTATTATTGGTGATCCATATCATAAGATAGCTGTGAATATTTTTTTAAAGATTGTATTTATTTATTCATTCATGAGAGACACAGAGACACAGGCAGAGACAGAGAGGCAAAGACACAGGCAGAGGGAGAAGCAGGCTCCATGCAGGGAGCCCGATTGGGACTCGATCCCAGGACCCCGGGATTATGTCCTGGGCCGAAGGCAGGCACTCAACCACTGAACTACATAGGCATCCCAGGTAGCTGTGAAGATTAAACGAGTTAACTTTTCTGATATATATAAAATCTGCTGACATAAAAATGTCATCAGCACAGGGTTGAAATTATGCTATAAAGTCAGTACTTTGGTTCCCCAGGAAATGGCATGCAGGTTCATTAGCTACCATTTGTCAGCTATCTCCTATGTTCCAGGTTCTAATTATAACAGTGGATGCTTCTAAGTCTTGAGGGACAGTGACCAGATGAGAGTGTGTGTGTTTGTGTGTGTGTGTGTGTGTGTGTGTGCGCACGCACGCTCCCGTGCATAGACATACACAATTGCACCAAAACTCAAAACTGCACCTGCAGAGACTCATGTGTGTGCTGGGCTGGATCAGCATACAAGGGTAGGCAAATTGGGTATTTTCTCAGTTATTTTATATGACTTGCTTGAAATTGATTAGGAGAGGGGCTGAATGCTGACTGCAAAGAGGAAGAACCAAGAAGGGAACTCTGCTTTGTTCAAACAATTCAGATCTGTTTGCAAAAGTGCAAACTCCAATTGACCAAATAAATGCCTTGAGGTTAATGGGACCACCCCCTGAAAGCCCCATGGACATAACCTGAACAGGGCATCCAAGGGTCCCCTCCCACCCCTCCTACTCTCTCCCCAACTGGCTCTTCCTTATATGTTCTGAGATGTTTGGCAGCCCCCCTGGACTGGCACTCCCCAGCCCAGCTCCCACACATGCCTAGACAGGAAAACACAGGCACACCCCACATTTCTTTCTGCTTCTTTTGCAAAACTTCTAAGTGTTCCATGATGTACATGCTCAATTGTTTTACTCTGGGGAAAAAAAAAGTTTACAAATCCCTGCACTGTAGGTATTATTTATGCCCATTTCACATATGAAAACATGAATCTCAAAGAGATGAGATGACTTGTGTCTCTGGACTAAGAAATAACAAAGCCAAGATGTAAGCCCAAATCTCCATAAATCTCCAATCTCCATCAATGCCTCTTTGCAAATCTTTGCCTTACCTAGAAACCACCTTCATGTGTGTTTTCCTGTGTTTCCCAACACCTGTTTTATTTTTATTTACTGGCTATTTGCCTTAAGTATATGTATCTTTTTATTGGAATACAGCTATTTTTTAGGAGAATCTTTAGATCCTGACCACAAACAGCAAACCAGCATCACTTGTCATAAGCAAAACACGACCATTTATAGATAAATATAAAGTAAAACAGTTGCCATTAAATTTTAGTTAGCTCCTGTCACAGCAAAAAGCTCTAAAACAGACTTCTGCCTACTTTCTGTTGCAAAAGGGATTAGGCAATAACAGAGAGGTATAAACGTCAGATGAGCACCCAACTGATGCTTTTCCTTTGATGGAACCAAGCAGATTCTAAGAACCGAAACAGAATAGATCACTGTGTCTCAGAGATGCTTTTTCTGCCTATGCTATGAAATAACATATGCCCCTCCCCTTTTCCTGCTTTGGGTTTTTCCTTTAGCTCCATCACCACTAACATGCTATCGATTCCATCTTGTTTAATTATTGGTCTCGCCCTCTTAGAATATCAGCTGTATGTAGGGGCAGAGAGTTTTGTCCCTTCTATTCACTGTGCCATCCACAGAGCCTGGCACACAGTAAGCTTCCAAAAACACCTATTCTGTTTTGAATGACAGTGTGCATTATCTCCTCACGGTGTGGTCCAGTGTTCTCCAAAAGCAGCACACTTGTGTCTTCCCTTTTACAATTGGTCCTTGGTTAACTGTGTCTCCAGCTCACTCCTCCCACCCAAGTGTCAGCTTGCCTCCTACCCTGGATGGGCGCACCTTTCAGTCAGGTTTCTTAACCTTTTCTTGAGTCCTGGATACCTCCAGCTTTCTGGTGAAGCCTGTGCATCCCTCTTCCAAAATACTATTTTAAGTGCGTAAAGTACCTAAGATTATAAAGGAAACCAGCTCAACTGAAGTACAGTTCTCAAAATATTACAGCATTTGATGTATGCATTATATATTCACTTATGTATTATATATAAATACATGTATTTACAAGGATATATTTTATAATGCATTAAATAATAATTTCTAGTAGAAACTCTAATACTCTACTAAAAAGTGCTGACATAGGTAAATGTTTTTACGTGTCCTGCTAATACTTCTGTGGTTTGTTGCCTATGTTAATAATAGATGGTGATGCTAAATTTCAGCTAGAGGTTAATGAATATAAAGATGTACTTTTTCCCCCAAATCCAAATCCAAAGGCTGCCCTCTCCTGCCCCAGAATTCCATCCATGGGCCTTACCTGTCCTGGATGATGAAGTACTTCAAGGGGTCTGTGGCGTTGCTGCTGGGTGTGGCATAACAGTTAGTCATCAACAGTGCAAACCGGGACAAATCACCCCCATCCAGCATGGTGCCCACATAGAGAAAGGCCTCTGTGGTCAGGGTCACAGAGGAGCCTTGGTAGGGCTGTGTGTAGTCAGGAGTCTGGAAGAGTGCCATCCGCACGGTGAACATGCCTGTCCCGCCCACGCTGATGTTTAGGGAGCTGCAGGGGGAAAGGGGTTGGTGAGAAAACCAGAGCTGAGAACAACAGATAGGCCACCCTTTCTTGTCTGTAGTCCTAGGCAGTCCCTGGCAGCTCTCTGCCTGTTTATCTAGCAGTAGGACTGGAACCCACCAACCACTCTAGTGGTTGCAAACTGCAATGGACAGACATGGGTCACCTCAGAATCTTGTTGAAATGCAGGTTCTGGTTTGGTAGGTTCAGGTGGAGCTCATGTTCTGCATTTTCAACAAGCTCCCATGTGATGCTGATGCTGCTGATCCATAGACTACATATTTGTAACATGTCCGCCCCCCTCACTTGGTGCCCCTTGCCTTTAAGAAGTCCAATAAGCAAATTCTCAAGGGAGTCACACACACATTCCTTCTTTGGTCTCAACCTGGAACAGTTAAAAGGGATGGCTATGAGTCCTACAGGACTAAGTCAGAGTTCTGGTTCCACCTACAGTAGAAAATAGAGATTTTGTAAATAGATTGTTTTTAACCACATTGAAAACAGCTACACTGGTTTAGATTTCACAGGATGAGCCAAAGAAGGACATCATAGGACTGATATGCTGGGAAATAAGGCACATGATAAAAACTCAGTAATGTGGAAGTCCATTTTGCAGGTGAGAGTTGCGCTATTAGTTTGGACTAGGGCAAGATATCTAGCTCAAACCAGAGAGACATCTGCATACAGATGTGTTGCTCCCTGAAGTCCATCAGGCCTGTGACATGGCCCCATTGCTCCAGGACACTACTTGGCCAGACGATGCTCTGGCCAAAGGCCGACAATGAGCAACCTTCTTCCCTCAAGTCAGCCATGCACACTCATCAGTGCCTAGTGCCCTTCCCAAAGAACATGTAACCATGGATGAGCTTCATAGTGAAGGTCATGGTAGAGTTGGGGCTCTGGGCCTGGAGGCCTTGATTTGAATCCTAGCTCTGCCATTTATTAGACTCTAACTTTGAACAAGTTACTCAATCTTCTCTGAGCCTCATTTTCCACATCTGTATAATGGGAATAAGAATAATAGTAATGGCTACACCTCTTAAGGTGCTCTAAAATTTCTTTTTTTAAAGATTTTATTTATTTATTCATGAGAGACACAGAGAGAGGGGCAGAGACATAAGCAGAGGGAGAAGCAGGCTCTCTGCAGGGAGCCCAATGCAGGACTCCATTCTGGGACCCCAGGATCATGACCTGAGCCAAATGCAGATGCTCGACCACTGAGCCACCTGGGTGCCCTAGTGTTCTAAGATTTCAATAAGAAGTTTCCTATAGAGCACTTAACACAATGCCTGACACATAGTCAATTCTTCATAAATACTTGCTATAATTACAACTGTAATTTTTTTCCAATATCAGCATCATTGGCCTATGATTCATCCCACTCAGAGATTTTCAATTTTATTTAGCAACACTGTCTATTTATTTATTTATTTATTTATTTACTTATTTATTGTAATAATAAAACTTCATGTAGCACTAATATGGGTGAAACTTCTCTGGTTCACCCTGCAGGCATCCCCAAGCATACTTCCTTAAAGACCCTCAACTCTAAGAGGCATAATTTATAAACATCTCTTTAATCAAATTCCTATTTATGGATAAGGAAGGAAACTAAGCTCCAAATATGGCATATGATGGATATATCATACATAGCAGGTCTGGACCAAGAGCCCTCCCTTCTTCCATCTGGTCCAACCACCCTGTCCCTCTTATAAGCCAGAGGCCCTAATATTTAATCCACATATGCCAAGCACTGTTGTGCTTCTAAGAAAGGTAGTACAAGTACCACTAAATCAATATCACAGGTGAGAATACTGACACCCAGAATGGGGCTATATCAATTTCCAAAGCCGTCTGGTTAGTATGAGCCTAGATTGGAGTCTGAACTCCAGGCTTCCTAGTTGGGCTCCTCCACTGGAAATACTGCCTCCCAGTCCCCCCACCCAGCTCCTAATGGCTGATAGTTAACAGGAAAGCTGAGGACCTGGTGAGTAAGGGGTTGCAGTGTAGAGATTGTCAGGGGTACTGGAGACCCTTTCTGGCCGTACCTGACTATCGGCTGCAGGGAGGTCTCCAAGCTCACTTTCATATCCAGGGGGTAGGAACACTCAAAGTTGATTTTGATGTTGCGGTCACGGATGATGATCTCATCTGCCAGGTAAAGAGTGTTGCTGTATGTGGCATGGGTTTCATTCCTCTGTATTGGGGGGTTGGAGAGAGGAAAGGGCCTGAGAATCTGAGTAGGATTCAAAACCAAACGGGTTTCTCTGGCCACCTGTGAGCTACCCTCCCAGCTGTCATGATCCAAAGTTACAATGACAGCAGCCATTTATGAGCTGGGCCCTGGGCTAAACACTCCTCCTGCTGCATCACTGCATTAACCCCTACAATGACCCTAAGAGGCAGGGCTACTAGCCCCCTGCCTCATGATGTGGAGACGGGGGTTCATAATTGGAGTAACTCTTGAGTAACTCTCTCACAGTACATGGGATCTAATAAGCCTGGGCTCTTCGAATTAGGCCACACTTCCTCTCAAACAGTAAAAACACTAAAAACTATGTCCAGACTCATTATTAATGCTGGAATTTCAAACACTGTGCTAAGAAAATAATAATTATTTTCTTCCTTTCTTTTGACTTCTTTCCTTTTCTTTTGGGGGGGATGATGGAGTTGGAGAAGCCTGTGTTCCACTCAAACATTGACCTCTGGGTCACTTTTGAGGAGGTCTCTGGAGGTGAAGGCCTGGTTCTGAACACCAGTGATGCAGACCTTGCCCCTCCCAGCACCACCCAAGACAGACAGACCTGTTTCTGAGCCCTGTGCTAATACCTTCTGGCTGAGAAGAATCACTGCCCTGTCTGGGCCTTTCTGTTCCCATCTGTAAGATGGGGAGCTGTCACCATGGATCATTCTCTTTATTTAAAGCTAACATTTATTGAGCACTTACACAGTGCCAGTCACTGTCCCAATCAATTCCTACATATTAGCTCATTTAATCCTCTTAACAACCCTGTGAAGTAGGTACTATTACCATACTCCATTTTACATTGAGGAAACTGAGGCACAGGCAGGCTTATACAACTAGGAAATGATAAAGCCGGGGCTTGAACCAGGCAGTGCTCCAACCCTGTCCCACAATGGCCAGGACATACCATCATCACTGTCCCACAGGGACCATCCCTGGCTGGGGTCACCACAGATACCCAGTCCCGGTCGCCCCTCTCATTGAAGCCTGAGCACTGGCTGTCACGCAGGTACATGAAAACCTTCTCAAAGCCCAGGCTCTTCAGCTGACACTTGCTCAGGGACACCTTGATATCATTGGGCCTACACTCCAGCCTGCGGTCCAGGAGGGAGAGATCTGAAATGGGCAGAGAAGGCAGGATTGGAAACCTGTGACCACAATTCAGGGCCCAGCTGGCCACTAGCTGGAAGCATTCAGATTAGTTTCTGTCTCTTTTTGTGGTTTTCTCTCAGAGAGACAGAGACACAAGATTGGATTCTGAACACCACTAGATGGATCCAGGTGGCCAACCATCAGCTCCATGTTGCCCTAAGTGTGCATTGTATACAAAAAGCAATACTATTTTTGTGTAATCCGCCCCCCAGAACTAAATACATTGAATCTTGGGGCACCTGAGTAGCTCGGTGGTTAAGCGTCTGCCTTTGGCTCAGGTCATGATCCTGGAGTCTCAGAATCAAGTTCCACATTGGGGTCCCTGCAGGGAGCCTGCTTCTCCCTCTGCCTATGCCTTTTGTCTCTGCCTCACTCTCTGTCTCTCATGATTAAATAAATAAAATCTTTAATAAAAAAAATACACTTAATCTCAGTAAAACAAAACAACAAACTAACATATTAATTGCAATTATCTTTCCATCCTTTCTGTATCAGAGAGGTAGTCCACACTAGCTACTGAAGTTTTTAAAGTATACATTTGCTAATTTTTCTTTTAAAACAACAGAGTGCAGACATCAGGCTAAGTGTTTGGGGCACACAATGACATACAGCTGGATTTTTTTTTGAAGTGTTCCAGCTGTAATACTTCAATTAAATCACTGCTGGAATTTAAGAATTCTCTTTCACTGTATTTATTTTTACTGTTACCTTCTAAGGTGTTACTTGCCACAGATAGATGTAGCAGTGGCCATAAATGTCCCAAGTTTATATAAAAGAAGGATTCAATCAATTTAAAGAACAAGTTAATAATAATCATAGTCTAGGTAGTACTTGGATAATACAAAATTATAAAATTGGTACTTGGATGTGACTAAAATCATGACTAAAGTTTGGGAGATACTCTCCTGCTTCAATCATTGTACATATGGGGAAACTGAGGCCCACGGAGGTCTGCTTAGGATCCTCTGCTGGTCAGTGGAGGACCCAGCCCTCCAAATCACAGGCTGGTCACTACTCCTCTGTTCTTGAGCTGCAGAAATATGGCTTAGGCCGCCTTTGGACAACAAGTGGCAGCCACCTGTGCTGTGATGTGGGAGCCTCAGAAAGGAGGCTGGGGGTAATGGGGTCCCCCAAGCTCTCGGAGCTTTGGGGTCAACTAAAGGGAGCCTAGGAGCCCAGAGAGCTTCTCCTGTTTGGGGGGTTCTTTTTTGTTTTGAGTTTTTTAAAAATATTTTATTTATCCATGAAAGACACACATACAGAGAGAGGCAGAGACATAGGCAGTGGGAGAAGCAGGCTCCTCACAGGGAGCTGGATGTGGGACTTGATCCCAGTACCCCATGATCATGCCCTGAGCCGAAGGCAGATGCTCAACCACCAAGCCATCCAGGCACCTCAAGCTTCTCCTGGTTTTGACAGTTTTTACAGGATCCACTTTTCATTCACATGGGATGATATGCATCCCTGCATCATCCCCACATGTCCCCAACTCACACACAGCCATGTATCCCTCCCCCAGTTGCTGCCATTTCTCAACGCATCACCCTCCTCCCACTGGCCTCACCTGTGACATTGAAGTCCTGTTTGCACTGGCAGCTCCACATGCCATCATGGGATTTGCAGTCCTCTTCTACACTGCACTCCTCACATGTCCCCAACACAGAGGTGGGGTCTGCAGGATCACAGACACAGTCAACAGGGATGCTCCGGGGTCTCCCGTGTGCTCACCCAGGCCCGGAATAGGGGGTGGAGGAGGGGGGGAGGCGCCCACTCACCTGTGCAGTAGGCCAGGTAGCACTCAGGGGTCTCCGTGAGGTTGTAGACATAGTAGCCGCCGGCGCACGCCTTCACCTGGATGGACGCATCCCACAGGCAGCAGTGGCCACTCCAGTGCGCACAGGCTGTGCGGTTCACGATGCCCTGGTCTCTGGTCGGGTGTGTGCCATTGAGCCACATGGGCGCGGCCGTGTTGCAGTGCAGGACCGGCACGCATGTCTCCGCCAGGCGCACCCCACCTGGCCCTGTGAAGCGGTACCAGCCATTCAGGCCCACGTCGCAGGTGTAACCTGCCCCGTACTCGGTGCTGCGCCAGTACTCATCCAGGATGCGATGCTCCTGGCACGGGTCCGCGCACACCAGCGCGTCGCCCACGGGCACGCAGTCCAAGCCCGGGCCGCAGGAGCCCGGGGAGCACTCACAGTGCTGCCCGTCCCCTCGGTAGCCCGCTGGGCACACGCACGAGTAATTGCCCTTGTTGTTGATGCAGGTGGCCAGGGCATGGCAGCGGCTGAGCCCCGGCTCCGAGCACTCATCCACGTCGATGCAGCCCAGCCCCGGTGTCAGACGGAAGCCGTCGGGGCAGGTGCACAGGTAGGAGCCCGGCGTATTCATACAGCTGCTCCCCTCCGAGCAGTTGTGGGCACCAGGAATGGCACATTCATCCAGGTCCACGCACTCAAAGCCGTTGCCAGTGAAACCCACCAGGCAGGAGCATGTTGTGACCATCCCATCCTCCACGCAGGTGGCATTGCTGTGACATTCAGAGCAGCTTCCTGTGGACAAAAGAGCCCAGCCTCAGAGTGGGAGCAGCTGGGCCAGTGGTCACCCAGAGTCCTCCGCATCCCTTAGTGTACCATGTTTTTTTAAGACGTGGTCCCTGGATGACTCCCTCCAAAACAACTAAACAGAACTCCCCTGATGATTCCACTGTGCATTCTTCTCTGTTAAGCATTACTTTCAAACTGTGTCTTCTTTTAAAATATCCGTGTTTCCACATGCAGAGGAATAATGCAGAGTTCTTGACACTTTGGTAAGATTTAGGTGTCCATGTCACACACACACACATACCCCTCCCTTTGAACATTTAACAGATCTTCCCTGCCTTTCCTCTGAAGACTTCCCCAACTCTCCCTGATAGGGGCAGTCACATTTTGTGTGTCAATGTCACACTTTGACATCCTCCACGACAATGAAAACAATAAAGATAATGAACTATCGTTTATTAAGCACTTACTATATGCTGGACACTAGGCTTTTCACCCATTATCTCACTGAATCCTCCCTAGTGGCCCTGTGGGATTGCTTTTGTATTTACCCTGAGCAAACTGAGATTCAGAGGGTTTAAGCCACTTACTCTGTTAGTAAGCAGCAGAACCAAGACACAAACACAGGCGGCAGGACCACAGAGTATACGCTCTTAACCTCTTAACTATGACCCTGAAATGGCATTTACTGTGCCCCAAAGTGCTCCAGCTCAGGGGAGATATCCGGCTCCCTTCTCCAGGAGAAGCTGAAAGCTAGATGAGGATAATGCAAAATCCAATGGAATGACCCCTTAAGAGTGCAAGGGAAGGTGTTTGGAAACCACTTAGGTGGTTTCAAATCTCCTGTGTGGTTGAATATGTTCCTGACCTTCCAGTAAAGTACCAGGGGACCTTAGTGGTATTCTAGACTCTTGCCTCTCAATGTATCATCCAAGGACCATAGACAGCATCAGAATTACCTGAGAGCTTGTCAGAAATGCAGAATTTCAGATTCTACCTAAGGCCTACTGAATCGGAATCTGCATTTCAGCAAAATTCTCATCCGAGTCCTATATACATTAAAGTGTAAAAAATGGATTTTGAATAAATCAAATTCTAAGCATTACAGGAGATGGAGCCAGACCTGCTCTGTTAACAGCAGCATTGTTCCCCCCCCCACACACACACACACCACTTACTTGCTTCCACAGTATCAATGTTTGCAGCTATGATGACCAAAGAGGTTACCACCACTACCATCCACACTGAGGTCAGAGAGGAAAGCTGCCCCATTTTTTTCTGCTCTTCACAGTTACTTCTGGTCTGGGGAAGACTGCCCAAAGGCAAGGACAGGTTGACCCCTTGGCGTTTCCTCCCTGTCTGTGATGCCTGGAGTCCTGTGGAACAGAGATGGGTGGGATAAATACATGATTGAACTCACTTCTCCACAGTTGAGAGGAGTGCTTTGGTTGTGCACTGCACAACTCCAGAAGATGCCATTTATATGAATGACAAAATATGTGCAGTATTGTGACCCTTGTTTTGGTAGTTTTCCCATCTGTTACCCAACTCTTACTCCCACCCGCATATTAGCCTCTGCTTCCCTAATCTCAGTGCATCTGGTAGAAGTGAGTCTCTTTTGAAACAGGAAGCAGCAAGGTAGGGTAGCACGTTCTGGACTCACCATCTTTTTGGAGGTAGCTTTGCTTAAGATAAGTAACTCGAGAGATGATGAACCTTCACAAAAGATTTTAGTGTTTCCAGAGCGGTCACTTATTATTTCACTTAGTTGGAATAATCCTAGGTGAGTATTACTATTGCCTCAATTTTTATAGCTGCAAACTAGAGTAGTATAGTGGTTAAATGTGTGGGACCTGGAGCCTGCAACCAGCATCCAAATCTGTATTTCACTAATTGCTAACAATGTAACACTGGGAAAGGTATTTCAATTCGCTAAGAATTAGTTTCCTCATCTATGAATAGGGATTATTGTTTTTACAAACTGAGTGGCTGTGATGTGCCAGGCTCAGTTTGAAATCCCTGTGATCAAAGAACTTGTGTTCTGGAGCTGTGTTTTCCAAGCCTTTGTAACCACAATCTGCTATAAGGAAAATATTTTTTGCCATAACCTGGTGCTGTTGCTTGTGTATGTACATGGGCACACACACACACACACACACACACACACACACACACACAATATAATACGTTTTCTAAAATAAAAAAAAAACACCTCTTATCATTACTGTTTGCATTGCTTGCTGACAGAGTCTATAAAATTTAATTAAAAGAAAATTTTGGGGGATCCCTGGGTGGCGCAGCGGTTTAGCGCCTGCCTTTGGCCCAGGGCGTGGTCCTGGAGACCCAGGATCGAAACCCACATCGGGCTCCCGGTGCATGGAGCCTGCTTCTCCCTCTGCCTGTGTCTCTGCCTCTCTCTCTCTCTTTGTGCGACTATCATAAAAAAAAAATAAAAAATAAAATAAAATAAAATTTTGGATATAATCCACAAGTAATTTCATGATTTACTAATGGGTCATGACCTGTACTTTGAAAACACTGTGGCAGATGATAACTGACTCCATGTTGTCATGGAGATTAACTAAGATGATATAAGCAAAGCAGGATCTGGCACATAGCAAATGCTATTGTTCACTGCTGTACCCCAGTGCCTGGTACATAGTAGGCACTTCACTAATATTTGTTGAACAAGTGAAGAAATAGTAGTCATTATTATTAGAGAAGCATAGCCTCAAAGACAGGGAGATTGACCAAAAAAGATAATGAAGCCAATAGTCAACAGAGGAATGACCCAATCTAGGTCTGACCCAAGTGTCCAATCTCTTCATTTCCTTTCTCCCTCTCCCAAATGGAATGGGAATTAGTAGGCAACTAGGTGGGGGGAGAAGTGGCTAGGAGAAGAGAGAGCCATTGATAGCCTTACCTGAAGCCAGAAAGGTAGAATTAGTCTGTTTACAGGTGTGTGCCTCCTATATATACATCTACCCCTTGCTGGCAATCTCTCCTCCAATTATTCTCTGGTTCTGTTTCTTGAGATTGTTTTCTTGAGGGTGGAATATTTTCCCCTTTGGGCACAATGTTTTCCTTTCCTAGGCTGTCAGATTGTTGTTGTTCTTTTTCCTAATATGTGGACACCCCAAGTGACTGACATTGGGGGGTCAAACTTGTGCCTGCAAATATAAGGCCTCTGTTTTGCACCTTTTGGCATAAAGAGATTCCTTAGTTAGAAATTAACTGAAAAAGCAGTGCCAGGGTACCAGGCTTTTTCTTGGTTACTGAGAAGGACAAGGTAGACCCAAGGAGCCAGGCAGAGGCCAGTATCTGAAGCCAGGCTGTGCTGGGGAAAAAGCGGTATTTGTTAGCACCATTAAGACATGCACCTGTGGCCGTTTGGGTTCCCTGTCCTGGGGAGGGCAGGCACTCTGCTGAAGCATACTCCGTCCTCATGGGCTCAGCAAACTCCTCTACCATCCAAACATGAGCAGGAGAGGAAGTGAAAATGGTTGAAGGTCAAAGTGAGAAAATAATTCAGACATTACTGGACCAGACCCAGTTTGTGTAAAAGGAGGATAGGCCCCTTTGGGAGGTGGATAACTTTCCTGACCTAGTAGACTGGCTTTTGAGTCAGTGTGCCTGGCTCCAGATCAGCCATTTATTGTGTGCCAGATGGCTCATTTCTTAATATTCCTGAGGTCATTTTTATTGTCTGTAAATGGAGAGTACCCATCTCTTAGAGTTGTTATGGTGGTTAAAGGAGAGGATGTGAGGACAGAGGTATAGTAATGACTCTATCTGTGGAAGTCACTTCAATGCTGCTTTGCTGACGTACAGTCACAGGAGTTGAAATGGTAGAGCATGGGTTCAATCCCATGGCTCCTGACCCATTCCCAGATGGCAGTCCAGTCTAAGAGTCAATCCCACTGAGAAAAACTGAATGTGTGTAGACTTGGGCTGAGCAGGAAATAGAACAATGACCCACTGCATTTATTTTTTCAGCATCTTTCTTATCCTGCCTCATTTAGTGGTAGGGTAACCATCAAGCACTGTGCAATATACTCCTCAGGATAATTTTGTAGGAGTGAAACTTCTGGGTCAAAGAATGGTGCCATTTTAAGAATTTTGATACTTCCCAAACAGCACTCCAGAGAGAGGTTTTTCAAAATAAACTAGTTTAGGGGCACCTGGTTGCCTCAATTGGTTAAGCATCTGACTGGCTTGGGTTGTGATCTTGAGGTTCTGGGATTGAGCCCTGCGTTGGGCCCCCTGCTCAGCGATGCTTCTCCCTCTCCCTCTCCCCCTCCCCCTGTTTGTGCACTCACTTGCTCTCTCAAATAAATAAATAAAATCTTTAAAAAATAAATAGTTTATAATCCCACCATAGTACTAAGCCTGAGCATTTTTGCTTCATCTTTGTCCTTCACCTTTCTCAAAAAAGTAAGTGAGAAATCTCATTGTTTACTTTTTCAGTTCTTCAGTGAAAAGAGAAATCATTATGTCTCCATTTGTGTGTTATTTTTTTTCTCAACTGGCCATGTCCTTTTTTCCCTCCTATAGGAATGTGTCCGTCCTCCCCTTCCCCACCCTACTGCTTGAGAAGAAAATAAGTGTTCTTAATATTCTTTTTCTCCATTTTGGATGGTGAATATGATTTCTGGTTGGTGCCTATGAGGCCCTGTCTAAACCTGAGTCAGGGTGTCCTTAAAAGATTAAATGGAGGCTCCAGGTAGCTCCTGGAATTGTCTGGGCAAGGGCTACAGGCAGGAAAGTAGGGCATTTGTGTTGGAGATTATTCATCAGTCTAATAACCATATTTTTCATTTTGCTAGTTTCTATATTTGTTGCTTGTACATCTTGGGGCTTTGGTGACTCTAGAGGGACTGCCCCTCCCAGTCTAACTAATTCCTAGAGATAGTGATAGCAAACAGATGACCTGAGATCTGCCTTTCATATGCAAACCAACTACCCAGAGCCCTCCTTTGCTGGGGGCTCTCACACTCTGGGCCACTATTCCCCTACCCTAATCACCCCAGGGCCAGGCACCAGACAACCTGGGACAGTTCCCTCATCCCAGGGCCTGTGGAAATTATTCACACTATCCAATCCTAAACCTGCTTACCCTGCCTCTCCTGTTCCTTCCCATGGAAACCATAAGAAAGGCTGTTGCTCATATCTCCCCTCTCCCTTGGCCTCCTGATTGACCCTGGTGCCTCTTCCAGTGCACCCCCTCCTTAGGATCTGTGAATATAATCAACCATGTTCTCAATGGCATTCACCTTCTCATCTGTGAGCCTTGCTATATCTGAGAAATAATAATAAAACCTACCTAAATAATAAAACCTACATTTGTGCCTCCCCCACACTCAACACAGCTGGATCGTCCTGTGGTGTTTTACTAGTTGGTTGTTTTTCCACTCTTCGAAATTCCTACTGTCTCCCATCCCCACACATTTAATGACATCATGATCTTCTCTATTGGAGTCACTAAGCATTGCTTCCCTCATCTTCTCATCTTCCTGTCTCTGGACTCATCTTTCACATCTCCTATCCTGCCATGATGGGGGCATCATCCTTCTTCCTGGGCTCATAGCCTTTCTGACTCACCTTCATTTATCCCTACCTCCTGTGACTTTCTCTTCTCATAGCTTCTTGGAGTATTCTCATCTGCTAGTTCCTTCTTTTTTAAAAATTTTTATTTATTTATTCTTTCTGCTAGTCCCTTCTATAGAAACTTTCCTTTGACCCCACACTCCCTCCAACCACCATCCTACTTTCCATCCTATCATAGCCAAACTTCACAAAAGATTTATCTGCACACTTTCCACTCAATTTCACACTGATACACTTCCTGAACTGCCAGCTCATTGACACTGCTCATCAAGATCACCAAATTTGACCTTTTTTTCTTTATCTTACTTCCAGAAAAGTAATAAAAATTTCTGAACAAACCTTATTCAGCTTATCGGAAGTTCCCATCTTCTTGGAATGCTCTTCTCTGAACTTTTAAACATGGGTAAGAAATTTGATCTTAATAATCTTGACAGCTGTCACCTTTTTTAATTTTTATTTTTTATTTATGATAGTCACACAGAGAGAGAGAGAGGCAGAGAGGCAGAGACACAGGCAGAGGGAGAAGCAGGCTCCATGCACCGGGAGCCCGACGTGGGACTCGATTCCGGGTCTCCAGGATCGCGCCCTGGGCCAAAGGCAGGCGCCAAACCGCTGTGCCACCCAGGGATCCCCCTGACAGCTGTCACCTTACTGAGAGTCTCTCTCTTGGGTCAAAGACTATATTGAATGCTTTCACATTTAGTGTCTCATACAATGAGGCACAGCAACACATTACCAAGAAGACTGTAGTTCAGAAATATTGAGTTGC